ATAGAACCGGCATACTGCATAACTGGATAACACGTACATTCTTTTTCTGTCCGAAATTAAGTTACTTCGGCACAATTCCTTGTAACTCGTACATTCATCCATATTGCTCGTCAACAATGAAACTTGAATTCGACTCCACGGTTACTGCAGAAGATAGAAAAAACCTCAATCTCGAGTAAATGTATTGTCAGAGGCAACATTAAGATTTGAATTAATGGTTTGTTTAACACTAGGGTTTTTGTGTGGGATCTTCAATAAAAAAATCTAGAAACTGTTCAAGGCTAGTCAAAAACGTTTAGTCCATATAATGTCCTACAGAATATACAATAGAATATACTGTAGAATTCAGAAAGTACCGGTTCGGCCTGAAGATAAGTTAACTAAAGTTCCACCGCCTAAGGCTGTAATATATTTTTTCATTCTCATTTTTTCGTTTTCATTACATTTTGGGTTTCGTAGGCACTTTAAACGTGTTAGTTGTGATTTTCACCATGACTCACTGCCTCGCATCACGCCTCGCATCGTGCCTTGCACTATAGTTAAACTCTTTCAATAATTGCATACCTTTGCTATTCAGCTCGTCAAATAACAGATTTAATTTGTCAATATCATTCTCTGGTAAGCCTGACTTGGCCGCCATAATTTTGTACTAATCTTATAAACAAATATCTAACCGGACTGACTGTAAAAATGATGAAATATAAGGCCTACCAACTTTTCATTTAAAAAACCAACTTTTCGATACAGGATCTGCCAGTCGTCTCCTTCGTTTCTCTTCTCCCTTCCAGTCTTTCCCCCCGCGCTCTCCTTTTCAGTTTTCCCGCACATATGATTACTGCATTTGCATGTGTCTCACGAATCGTGATATCTCAATTCTCAAATTAATTCAGCTTTAATTGCTTTGCATTTGTTTTAAATTTTCAAGCAATTTCTCGAGCTCCATTTCCAAGGCCTTTAGAGACAACTGGGGATGAGTCAGATTAGAAGATGCAAATCTGCAGATACAAGCGTGAAAATAACACTCTAAATAGTGTGTTGGATTGTGTTTCGAACAAGACTAATACCAAGAAGATATGTTGAAAGGGGCCGAAGTTATATTTGGCGAAAGGTATGGCTTAGTGATGCATTGTTTACATTCTTCGAGTATATTGTATATAGCATGGTATGGCTAGTTTACACATAGTTAATAGAGGACACGGTTTGGAAGGCCGGCAAACTTCAAAGGCTTTCGAGCTAATTAATTTCAGATGTTGGAAAGGTACGTCACGTGACATTTCGGGTGCATCAAATTCAGAAATTACTATAGCGTAGTATTACAGAAATATGATATTGTGCTTGTAAATTTTAAAATAAGGCATTGTTGTTCTTGTTATGGCTTCGACAAGTTCGGCATACGACTCAGAAAGCAAAATTCACCCAATTCTGGGTGCTGGAGACGCAGATACAACGGAAGAGGCGATTTTCATCAAACTATTTAGCTGCTGCAAATCAATGCGGATGAATTAACTGAAGAAATATCGCGTTCAGTTGAAGAAGTAAGTCCTTTAAACTGTGTCCAATTAAACAATATGTAGTGAGATGCCTTAGACTTAATATTTGACTTATATTTGTCGTTTAGATTGAAGGATTAAAGCAATTCCCGTGCGAATATCGACGCAGTATTAAGCACTGGACAAATTCTACAGCTAGTACTGCCAAAGGGAAAATCAAAACCCATGTTATATGACTTATCACGCATATGAGAAGGCACTGTCGATCATTCGAGAGGTAGGGAAAAGGAAAGAATATTTTCATCCATGCAGAGAAGATAAAGTCGTGCTTTTGATGCTGGTGAATATGCCCGAACGGTTGACTTTGCTATTACCAGCAGATATTCTTATTATAAACACTGAAGAAACTGCATGCTTAAATACCAGTAAATATCTTAATACTGTATATATAGACAATATACTGTAACCTAGATATGAAAGTCTTAAATAGTAGGCCCTAAGGCTTATGTCCAATTGTCAATTACATTTACAAGTCCAGATATTGACCAATATACAGTGATTCAATGTCTACTAACATGTGATTTGTTACTTTTGATCATTCTGTCACATCAAAATAGAATGCTATTCCAAGATATTTCATGCCCATCCCACAGTTTCCAAGACGAAGTCTTATAATATATTAGACAAAGGAGATATCAAAGGAAATATCATACAGAGGAAATATCAAATTTTGATATTTCCTCTGTATAGTACAATATTGACCTAAGGGTATTAAACTTAGTTCTTATTCCTCTCGAATGCCAGAAGATTTTACCTATGTGCAAAGGATTATATACCCAGAAATATTTTTTAATGTTTGTATTCTGCTAGTAATTATCAGTGAAATCAGAAGAGTTTGGACCACCCAGCTTATGTTGCTGGGGAGGGGCTGTCAGCCCTGTGGGTACCAAATTCATGACTTAATGATATTGCTAGAATTGCTGAATCGTGCTTTAGAAAGCACACAAGAATTAAGCCAAACCTACTTCTTTACACGTTGGTGGAGTTATTAAGAATGTCCAAGCTCCTCCATTAGCAAAACGTTTGTGGAATGACATTATTGAGCAATGTAATATCATTGCATTATCAAAAGAATGCCAGTACGTCCTTGTGTTTTGAGAATATTGGTAAACTGTATGGCTTTTAAGTTTCAAATTTTGCCATTTGTCATGCTCCAGCCCAAAGAGTGCACACCAAGCAGGCTGGTCATTTCATTGTTTAACTGCCCCCCACTCAATGGGCACTTTTTGCATCTTCTAAAAACTTGGGGGGCCTTGGCCCCCTGGTTCCCATGCCCCTGGTTGACAGCCAATTTCAGATGTGAATAGTGTACTTATTCACTACCGGTACGTCAGTGTGCTCCGATTCTAGCCGTTGTTGTCTCTCAAACCATGATAACTCAAAGTTGAGCCTACCAATGTCTTGTCTATTTGAAGTGAAACAAACTTTTGTGTAATAGTGATTTACTGTATATATTAGTATAAATTTTTACAAATTATTCAACTAAGGTAATATATTGTTCTAATCTTATTGTTCACCTATTCATTTATAATCTGTTTTAATAATTATTTTATAACATATGTACAAATTATTGCATATTACTCTTTTGAAGCAGTGCTGTCATTAAGTTTACAAGTAGGTGGCCAAAAAAATATTGAACATTGAAGGCACAAGACTCCTAGAGGGGTCTGGGTTGGAAATGCCATTCCCTGCATTTGGGAAGGTATTTTACACATTCCGTGCATTTCAGAAGGTATTTTACAGAGTTCTTAAGATTACAAAACATCCTATCAAAGCCTGACCTGTTTGAAATAATTTAATCTTTTGTTTTAATTTTGATGTTCTGATAGAGGAAGTAAAAGGTTTGTTTATTGCTTCACAGTTTTGTTTATATGAACTTTGTTCAGACAGAAGTAGGGAAGCTACAAGGCCCTTAATGACAGCTCTGGGTACAAAAACCCCACAAAAGTTCTCACTAGATTACTTCTGTTTTATGTTACGGCAAGGCCTTTTCTAATCCACGATACCATTTACTCCTCTGACCAGTGTGACAACCAGCAATGTTACCTGGCTCCAATTGTCGATGTAGAGAGGTATGCTTTTCTGGGGTAAATTAAAGGTAGGAATAGCACTAGCTACAAGCCTTTTGCAGGTGGGAACTAAAGCAGAACATAAAATATCTGATTATATATACAGTAAGTTGATTTAATTTATACAAGTATTGTTAAGATAGTAATTATAATAAAATTCACAGCAAACACGATTTATAATAACTGTAAATGGGGCTTTCATATACTATGACATGGCCAAACAAAAATCCTGTTACTTTATTATGCCAGTTTCTTGCTATTAAAATAGCCTTTGAATACTGTATAATACTTTGTTTACTGTATACGAAAATGTTTCTACTGTCCTCAGTGACAGTGTCCTGAATAATATGTATACCTTCATTTTATGAACACAAGGATTAACTGTTATATAAATATGACCTAATGACTGAAACGCACTTTTATGCAAATCATTAATATTTAATATATTTTTCCTGCTCTATGACCATATGGTTAATACAAATTTGATCATTTGATACATGAAATATATACAGTACTTCTGCTAAGTTGTAACTTCCAAGCGTTCATACTGAAATATCAATACCTCTACCAGAGAAAGAAAATAACTTACATGTTTCGGCTGGGTCTTTTCAAAGTGTCTTTCACAAACGTGAAGTGTTTGTTGACACAGGAAAAAATGAAACATCCCAAGTTGGCATGTCATTGGTAATTTAATGGGGAAAATATCCAATGTTGGTATTTCGTTGGCAATTTTCAATATTTCCAATGATGTTCCAAGAAAATACAAACATGGGTTGACCAATGTTGGAATGTTATTGGAAGATTTGCTAAATAACGCTGCCAAACGTGGAAACTCATTGGTATATTGTTGGATAATTAACCATTGTATTTTCCAACATTGGAATATTTTTGGTATGCTTAAGCTATTAAAACCAATAATATACCAACAAAATACCAATCTACAAGAATGAAACATACCAAACTTGGAAACTCATTGGTATAATGTTGGATAATTAACCATTGTATTTTCCAACATTGGAATATTTTTGGTATGCTTAAGCTATTAAAACCAATAATATACCAACCAAATACCAATCTACAAGAATGCAACATACCAAACTTGGAAACTCATTGGTATAATGTTGGATAATTAACCATTGTATTTTCCAACATTGGAATATTTTTGGTATGCTGATGCTATTAAAACCAATAATATACCAACCAAATACCAATCTTTGGTATATTGTTAGATAATTAACCATTTTTCAATCACTGAAACATTTATATTGGAATGCCAAAATTACTCATGTTTACACAAAGCAGACATTTCTCGTTTATCTTCTCTTCAGGCAGTTGTACAACATCCTAGCTCACCAATACTCTGATGAGATTATTAAGGTTTTCATAGGTCTTGCCAGCGAGAAAACTGGACAACCCAGGTACCCTTTACAATACCCAGGATACTGACAAACATTATTTGTTGATTCCGAGTCCCTTCTGGTTCCCATAGCCTATCAGGTCGCTGGCGAAAGAAGCAGCCAGAAACGTCCTGTCTTCTCATTCGAAAGGATAAAACTCTGGCCCTCCAGACTGTATCTTCATTATCTCCTCTAACAAGAATCATATCATTAATGCATGGGAAGTACGGAACAACAACAGTTCCAGGTCGAACAGGGAAAATTCGTCTCATGTAGTCAACAATTAGGAATGTTGGCTGCCCATTAGTAGGGTCAGCTTTTGCGACCATAATTTTACGACTGATATTCTCTGCGGGAACAACAATTGTGTTTTCACTAGTCTGAACCAGTCTTCCACTGTCATTATTGCCGACCACTTCTTTAAATACGCTACAATACAGGAAATGTTTACTTTGTCCTGCAACAAGAACTGTAAATATTTTCTGTATTTGTACAGAAACTTCACCACCCTGACTGGCAACAACAATTGCTTCTTCTCTAACTCTGTATAGTAGACCATTAAATCCATGATTGGGTTTCCAGATACTTCTGTAACTAGTTGCACCATCAATAACATCATTATTACGGACATCGCTCATTACTGCAATTTCATGTTGTATTTGATACGACAATACAAAGCGATGTGGACCACCAACTAAAATCCCTATAGAACTTTTCTCTTGAACCACTTGGCTTGCTTTATACAATTTCCGTGCCTGATCAATAGATTTTGCCCACAACTATATCAAGAGAAATCCAAATTTTGGTATACAGTGCTAGATCTTTCATTTCATATTGGGCGAGATATAAATGTTTTTAACCAAAGTTCTGTTTGAAAATTGGCGAAAAAATCAACTAAAACGGCTTATTAAATGTATTTGAAGACATTTGGTATTTTTTCGGGAGTATTGTAAATTTTAAAGAAGTTAGCTTCAATCTTGTATTATTTTATGGTTTACATAAAATATTTTGACCTTTGGGCCTTGTGGGAAATGAAAAATTCGAATGCCAAAGTTCGAATTCAAGCAACAAATCTGGAACGTCCCGCATGAGCAGCAGCCTAGGAATTTGACACAGCTCCGCCAAGCAGTTATCTTAACGTGCCAAAGTTTAGATGTACAAATGATACAAAGCGCTTTTTCTGGCATGGTTAACGGCAGAGCACGATGTTATATAGGTGTAAACATTATTTATCGTGCGTTGTGTTGACAAGAACAGCATTAAATTAAATGTTAATTTGATAGGCCGATTTAATGTAATTTTAAGCATTTTCAAAATTGCTTCTCCAAATGAAACTGTAGTATTTCATTCAGTTTGCTCAAATATCTTCAAGTCATATATCAAAATTTAAGTTAGGCCTTTCTGAATTCGGTGAAGTCTATTTGATTGAAACTCCTTGTCCAGTTTTAACGGTATAACAAATCAAACATCGATACTTTTTTTTGAGACACCCGCGGTATACAGTACACACACACACACACACACACACACACATGCACACACACACACAAAGTTGCACTGCCGCGTTATTTTATTGCAAGTGCTTACTAAATCTTCATTCACACTATCTTCGTTAGGGGTTTGGCTTTCTCTTTCTTTGATTACTTTCAGTGATTCACGACGGGACTCAGACGCAGCAAAGGTGCATTCTATGTTCTTGCAATTGCTTGGGTTCCTTGTGTATCTCTTGACTGCACGTTCCTTGGTCCAACAAGAATAGTTGTCAAGGCCACTGAAATTTTTTATATCATCCTTGAAGTGAAGTAGATTGTGAAGAATAATAGGACATGCCGATGGCCCTCGGTTCTCTTCCAAAAGGACACCATAACGCACAGCCATCTCATGGAATGTCTGAGCATCATCTTCAGTCCATCCATTTCTAGCATGGTTCTGTATAAATTCAACAATGCGAGCCAGACAAGACCACTGTTCCTTGAGACTTATTGTAGTAAAGAGACCGTTAAATACTACTTCTGACGCAGGGAATGCAAATTTAGAGAATTCTTCAGCTAGAGGCAGAATAAAAATTAACGCTCAGAAGTGTACCATACAAAATGAAGAACTAACATTCTATACATGTCTGTCGATTATTTAACAATTATTTGCCGAAGGCGAGGTAATGATCGGTGAGTAAAAACCGAGACTAAGTCGAGCTTTTTATTCACGATAATCACCGAGTCTGAGGTTTAGTATAAATTGTTTTAGTATAAATTAACAGGTGATTGTTTTGGAAAACAATACAAAATATATACATTTATTCGTCACTTTATTACACAAAACGGCTTGCCACCATTCTTAAAAGTGCTTGAATGATTATCGCGTTATAATCACCTCATGCGCAACCAATCAGCGTGGAGACTTTTCAATAATCACCTATGTAGTTATACTGTGTTATACTGTATACAAAAGTGAATGTCTTCTTTTATTTTATAAGGCAAATGCTGAAGATAGACGTTATGTTACGATCAGGTAAAAATATACATAAACTGTATAGTAA